AAAGCCATTAATAGTCTAATATGTCATAGTTACTTATCATGTATATGCTGAACGTTCTGAGGTATTGATATTTTTTTTTCTCCCACAGAGGTCTATAAATAGGAAATGATGCACATGGTGCATGTTACTATGTATATGTCAGAGGTCAGTGTGATCAGAGACAAATGTGCAGTGTAAAGCACAAGTGCAATGTGGCTAACGAAAACTCTTTGCATTTTATTGTATTGGAAACTTAGAGAGACCGCCAAACTCATATATTGACACATACACAATTGCACACCCTGACACCTCAATGTGGCCACATTCTCACCTCAAACCTTTCCATTCACTGACTGACAGGCCAGCGTTTCCACCAGCGGATGTTTTTTGAGGCCAGTATTTCTTTGAAAAGACACAGAGGGCCTCAGGCACAGGAGAAAATTACGTCTTCAGTAGGATACCAAGAGTCTTCGTGCCTCACTGCTGAACCCTTTCTCTTTCATACACCATGGAGGTTATAATTTTCTTTTTGCGTGCATCAACTGAAATGTTTCACAGAATGACATAATTCTGTGTTGGAACCTGTTGGAAGTAAATTTCTATACAAAAAAACTAAACATAGACACACACACACACATATGCACACACTCCAACAGGAAGAGTGTGGGTGTTTGGGAGCAGCTGCATGGAGTGGCATCAGACCCAGCTTCCTCCTGGTGCAGCGAGCACCATCTCTCCTCCCTTTTCTTTTTCTCTCCCACCATCTACTCATTTCCTACACATTTATTTCTAATCTTCCTTTGTTGTCGCCACTTCCTAGACAGAAACATATATTTAGTTGCAAATAGGCAACATCATCATGCCACCATCTTTATGATGAGTCTCATCAGGAAACTGAACCCAAGATTCAATCTGCACCGTTGACAGAAATTAGTTGGCTGTGGCAAGCACACGGAAAACAGTTTGCGCATGTTGCAATGCAAAGACTGTGTGTGTGTGTGTGTGTGTGTCCTGTTTCTGCCCTCTTTCCTTAGAATGGTTACACATCAGCACATTGCCACCTGAAAGCCCAAACGTTACTCAATACTTTCCTGCACTGAGCTCTAATTGAGAGCTTGCTAGCAATTTTAAGAGTTTACTTAACTTGCGCACCTGCGCGATGTGAAGCTGCAATGACTCAAGCAGTTGATGGACAGAGCAGATAAAGCTATAAAAACACACACACACACACTACATAAAAGAGAGATGGTTTGGAAATGTATCTGTTATATGGGCGCCCCAGCTGCAAAATGTCAATCTTTTGATTGTTACACAATCATCTCTGTAGTGGCTTGATTATAAAAATGACATGATAAACAGGATGCATTGCATGTGTCAGAGAAATGTTCAGCAGTGTTTGAATCAAGGCCAGTGGAATCTTCTTCTAACACAAAGAGGCACAGGTGCAAGAGCCTAAGCATCTTGGTGTTTCAATTTTCTTTTCACTTTTCTCTCTTCTTGCTCCATACTGCTATTACTCAGTCCAATTCCAGCCATTACTCCTACATCTTTCTGCTTTCTTTTAAGAGCTCCTCTCAACCATTTTCTGTCAGCAGCACACTCCCAGTACGTGATAACTGTGCTGAAGACACTCAGCAGTTATTTCTGTGTTTCCTGTGTGTCATGTGGTGGTAGCTTGAGCTAGCTAGCATGGCTGACAACACACAGGCTCCCAGGTGCAGAGTGTCACGGAGTGGGCTGTCAGCCAGAAAGCCTGTGGGCCAGTTAGCAGCCAACAGGGCCCTGCAGCACGTGCTGGCCTCCACCCCCCCAGTGCTATTCCCAGTGGCAAAGAAGAACAAAGTTATAACATTCTGTCTTTTTTGGGAAAACACATGTGTATGTGAACATGTGTGAGCCTGCGTTTCTGCTGCACCAAAGTAACCTGTTTGAGAGTACATTTTTTAAACACAACATCACTGCTTTGTCAATGACTGGCATGCTGTAGCTGATCTGCCGTATTTGGTAGTATGCTCGTGTTTCTCTCTCAGAGTTAAAGGGTCAGGCTGCACTAACAGAGCCGACCTCGAGTGAAACCGGCATGCAGGGGCACCAGGGTTTGCCCTCTTCCCCCAGCTCGCCCCCAGGCCACAGATGCATCGACCCAGACAAGGCTGCACTTCTCTGGGCAGCACAGAGAGACTGCTGTGCTCTGGTTCCTGGAGCCCTGATGCTCTGATTGAGACCCTGCGCCCATGCAGGAACCAGAGGGAGGGGAAGAGAGAGCAACAGAGGGGATGCAAACACATCTGGCATCTGCAAAACCCGCACACAACTTCTCATATCATCACGGAGTAATGTACAGGCCCTATAGAAAAGCAAAGCGCTCCCGTCCCTTCGCTATCACACGTGCGGAAGACGATACGCACCCCCACACAACCAAATGGTTGCCTCGCTCCAAATTCTCATAATTATGTGAGGAGCAGGACAAGAAGGCACAACAATCCTCCAGCTGGTAGGACAGCACCAGTATACACCGCTCTGTGCTATTGTTCTTTATATATAGCTCTCCAAGAAAAGCTGTGTTGGTGTCTAAAACAATAGATTATGTCACCACATGGTATCTAAAACAGGAAATGGTATAAAACAATGCTCTCTCCAATGGTGTATGCACATAGGGTATGGTATATAAATAAAGTTAGCTCGATTGAAGCTCTTAAAGGGAAGATACATGAAAAGCTATGAAAGGAGGACACCTTAGAGAGCATATCAGAGTGCAAGAATTTGTGTGGGTGCACGTCTCTGCAAGGTGTCTTTTTGGTGTGTTTGCTTCTTTTGCGTGGGCGCTGCCTTTTGCATTAGGCGGCAGTACAGGACGGAGTTCGAGGTAGCGGTTGGGACTTGTGTTTGTGAGGGTTGAGTGTACACGTGTGGGTAAGAGTGCAGAGTACCTCTCATAAACAACCAGCACCAGCTTCAGCCCACTGTTCCACAGTGCCACAGGTCTTTGCAAAAGCTTTCTTCAATCATCTGGCAACGATTTTCATGAGCACAGTTGTTTAAAAACGGATGGGTAATACACAAAAAAGAATGCTTGTGACAGAAAAAAAGAATATATCAAATGCGTGATGCTGGTATGGATGCGAGCTGCCCCCTCTCTTGGAGTATAGGCCAGTGAGAGGCAAAGCAGCACGCTGGAGCGGTGAGCCCTTTGTGGCCAGCTGTGGGGCCATTAAAGGCCCATCTGCAGACAATAGGCTCTGTCTGAAGGGCGCACACAGCCTGGTTCCTGTCCTGTTCTGCCTCACTGTGTTTGTGTATGGATGCGTACATGAGAGTACCAAGCATTTCCAAGCCCCATTTTAATCTATTACAAAGGAATACAGAGAAAACACATTTACTCACGCAGCTACACTCTAAATGGCACTCGTTTTTACATGTCTGTGTTAAAGCCGGTAATTTTCCACACAAAAATCTCTCCCTACGTATTATCAACTCATAACCTGAGTTAGTGATAACGGCGTCTCTGCTTTGTGGGAGAATCATACCGTGGCTCACTCAGGCATCTCTTGTTTCAGTCAGAAATCATCACAAATGGCGGAAAACCTGATGTCACAGCGCGATTAAGGCTTTAATGCCACCCTCTTCGTCAAAGACGGGGGAAATGAAGCTCGCTTCATTAAAAGGTTATCTCCTCTCACACACTTGAGACGCAAAGCAGAATGCAAAAATATAAGCAGGCACTGGAAAACAGCAAGCTGGCCCAACCACACACCACTCAGCGCGGTTCGATCAAGCAAGCCACAGCTTCACATGCCTCGACACACACGCACACACATACAGAGCTGCTGCATGCAGACACATGCAAAAATATCTGTCCCAATACTAAAATAGGCCCACAGAGGTTGCACCTGCACCTGTGCCCTGGTCCACACCTACACACAGGTGTCAGGATGTGACACATACACACAGACAGAGAGAGATAGCAGAGAGGGAGGGGGAAGAACAAGAGCGGGGTGAATCACACTACTGCGGTCGACCAGAAAGCTTTTTCTAGATATCATCTCTGTATTTTGGAGTGTAACCATGTGTGTGATTTTCATTTTTAAACAGACTTTCATGTTGATGTGTTTAATTATAAAAAACACACAAGAAATTCTGCACACAAGGCAGAATCGGAAATTCAATTCTTTTAAGTATGTCAAATAATGAGCCTTTCATTCCTAATTATGGGCTACGTAGCGTAGAGTGAAAGTTTAAGCAAACCGTGTATCATATTGAATGCACGGGTATTCAAGTGTGTCATTGTGTGATTCAGAATGAATGGCCTTTGAATGTGCATCTGTTTATCACAGTGAGTCACCCATTTGTCCCCCCAGTGGTACGTCCCTTCTCAAATGGGGCTGAAAAGGGGACGAAATACTTTACGCAGTGGTTTTTCTTTATTTTATAAATATAGATATCTGTGTGTGTATATATACAGAGCTTTGTGGGCAGACATATGCATAAATTAACACATACTGACACATATATACACAAACACCTGCACACTAAACATAAGGTAGGAGGAGAAACATTTTTATTTCCAGTGTAATAATAAGAAAGGCAACAACAAGTAATACAAGGAATTAAATTGCAGTGTTTAGAAAAGTTAAAAACTAAAGAAAAACAGCATTAAAATCAAGCTAGTATTGGTGTCTTTGCCTGCTAAGAAGTATAAGAAACTGAGCTTTGTCACAGTGCTGTGGCAGTGTTGGAGGTGAGACGGATTACACGAATCAGGTTGGAAAACCGTTTCATCTTCCAGTTTACCAAGACAATGTTTATACACTCTTCCTTTGCAATATCATCCCACATTATATGTATATTATACATAACGTATGGATTTCTTTTGTGAAATCTCGCCACCCTCTGGAAGCTGTTAGTTACTGCAGTCAAAACGAGCACTGCAATACAAAATTCGTTCATGTTTCAAATTAATTTTTATGCAGCTTTTAAACATTTATTTTGTGTCATTGCTCTTCAAGTTTTTCAAGGTTTTTTTTTGTTTTGTTTTATTTAGAAAATCTCTCAAAAATGTTTTACACATGTTTGTATTCTCCATAGCTGGAAGGCAGCCAGGAATTACTGAAGCTTATAACAGATATGAGGCTCAGTAATGATGTTGACTAATGTGTTATTATCTTACAAATACGGACAGATGCATTGTAGATACAGTCCATTTATAAGAAAAAGAAAATAAATTAGATGCATGGACTGCGAACAATGAAATTAGTGCCTTGAAGCATATTCTGCGAGCTGAGTATTTTCCCTCTCTCACCACACGTGGCTCACACTTCATCCTTTCTGGCGCCGATGGGACAGGAAATCCCGGTGCCTTTGAGGCCACAGTAGCCTTTAGGTACCTTCTTCAGGTACTGCTGGTGATAGTCCTCAGCGTAGTAAAACTGCTGCCCAACCAGAATCTCAGTTGTAATGGGACCATATCCTTTTTTCTCCAGCTCCTAGAGACAAAACACAAACATTCACCACTTTAGTTAAAACTGAATGCAAACTGAGAAATAAAAAGAAAAGAAAAAAAAGCACCTGTTCATAGTGTACACTGTTTGTTATTCAGCTGATGCTCAGCACAGTGATGCCATTGACTGAGGTTAGTCATTGTCATTACGTTGTGGGTTTGTATCCTCCACACTGCTTTCATTACCACACTCATGAAATATATTCAGCATTGCTTTCTCCAACTCCCTTAGCTTCCTCAAATGAACACACCTCTTAAATGTTTTTTTTTTTTCAAATTCTGTAGTGTATTGCGTGTGAACTTCCAATACATCTCCCTCATACAGTAAAGGGTTTCTGCTCCTCAACTAGAAAGCAGGGTGATTGAGTGACAGAAGAAAGGAACATCTTTTGTTTTGTAGTGCAGCGTGCTTCTGTGGCTCTCTCTGTGGGACAAAGCATCAAAGAGTATCCGCTCTCTTTGAGGCCTCTTTAAGACATTTTCACACTTAGCCTTTTCTAAACACCTTGAGAGAAGGCTTCAAACCCACTAAAGCAGCACGCTCGTTCACATAGACACTCATAACGCCTTGAAAAACACCTCTGACAGATATATCAAAGGTTTACCTGCTGTGCTGAGTGGTTTTCTCTATCTAATAATACAAGCACTCAGGCCTCTCTAGATCAGTGCTCCTGAGAGCTGACAAACAACAAGTCTGAGCTGCACTGGGACTGTCTGTGGGCAACAAGTAGCTTGTGTGTACAACAGATTGCTACACCTCAGAGAGAGCAGTTTGCAGCACTGAGGTGCTTTGCTTTGTGGGGGCGTCAGATGGGCTCAGAAAGTACAACAAAACAAGAGCTGAATGTGCTCAAGAAGGATGAGCATGTTCTTACCTTCTGCATGTAAGTCATTAAGTATGTTGTTTATATCCGATAAGAGTATTGTGTAGAAGGTTGTGATTGTACAAACCTCAAAGATCTATCCCTAAACTTTACACTCCTTCTGAGCAGGTTTTGGCTCATCACTTTGGTTTTATGAGAGCTCTTCTGTTTCATTTTTATTAACCAGCACCGCTGGTAATCAGGGTTGGGGTTAATTAATCCATATTTTGTTTGTTGAAAATTGATTAGTTACTGTTAAGTTGACATTTTTATACACTCGCTGGTCACTTTAGGGTTAGGGATAGGGTACATATTGCCAGCACTAGGCTGGATCCCTTTTTCCTTAATTCTTCACCCCAATGGAAACATAATCAGGGATTTTGCTCCATATTGACTGCAGTCATAAACGGATGTACATGGTTAGCAACCATGTACAAATGGTCCTAAGGGACCTAAAGTGTGCCACGAAACACCATTAAACCTCCACCAGTGGTAAGGATTTGTGTTTTCAGGAATTTATGGCAAATTTTGATGTCTCAGCAGAAATCGAGACTCATCAGACCAGGCAGCATTTTCCAATTTTCTATGTTGTCAGATTTTGTGAATTGTAGCCTCACGTTACTGCTCTAAGCTGACAGAAGTGGCGCTGGGTGTGGTCTGCATACCTTGGTTGTGTCAAGTTGTTATAGTGTTACTGTTGCCCTCCTGTCAGCTCGAAGAAATCTGGCCATTCTCCTTTGACCTCTGGCATCAACAAGGCATTGTCATTCAGAGAACTGCTGCTAAACCCAAGGGGCGGCTGTGCAGCTTAAACCACTTTTCTTCCCCATTCTGATATTCAGTTTTATCTTCAGCACATCATCTTGACCATGTCTATATGCCTAAATACATACAGTTGCTGTCATGTGATTGGCTGATTAGATATTTGTATTAACAAACACTTGAATAGCTAAAGCCAATGAAGTAGACAGTGACTATACTTAGTAAAAAACCCACATGACCAGATTTTGCTTGTTAAATCAGTCAGTCCATCATCAAAACTGTTACAATTTCTTTGATTAAATTACTAATTATAACTGAGCTGATGAGTCTGTTGGAAAAGAGAAACAATAAAAACTCACAATGAAGCAGCGGTATGCTGTTTTTCACTGCCTAGAGCTATTTAGCTGTGAGAGTTCAACAAGCTAACCTCATACCTTTGGTCATCAGTAATTGTGTGATGAGAGAGGGAGACAATATCAGAAAAAATATCATTTCTAACTGAGACTAATGTCAGTGAAAAGCAGCAGGGTAGTGTGTGATGTTGCCCACATGGAGGCAGTGTGGTACTAACCGTGTGTGCTCGGGTTTGCTGGAGGTGATGCAGTGGAGTCAGTAAATCAAAGCTCTGCACCCCACAGAGAGGCTGAGGCAGCAGCTGACCTCTAACTCCTCAGTGGTTGCCGCTACAATGTGAGGGCTCTAATCTCCCTGCAGGAAGGACCCAGTGTCCACAATCCAAACTACAACACAATGCAGTCCTTAACACAGAGCCTGAGCCTCACGAGCACAGACGTATTTACCTTTTAAAAAGGCAAACTGTGAGCAGTCTGCTAAAGAAGAACCAATTTTCCTGCTTGTATCCACCAGCACTGTGGTTAGCCAGCCGGCACAAGCAAAGAGCTTTGTACATCATGGCCTAATTAATCAGCCATCACCACCAAACCACAGTAGCAGAGAACCCTCCGGGGCAGAGGATGCTCCGTGTGAAGGGAGCGCCACGTCCAAGCAAAGGTCTGCTATTCTGAGTATACATACACCTCCACCCTGACACCCCCACACCACTCCCTCGCTCTCCATCCAGCCTTGTACAGCAGTCACAACACGGCGGCCATTTTAGATCTATAAATCAAAATGCATGGCGTCATGCCACTGTGTATAACCTTATGTGGCTTTGCTTTCTCTCTCTCTCACTGCAGCAGCGGCGGCAGCAGCAAAGGCATGGAAGGAAGAATATGGAGGGTAGGAAAGGATGTAAAGATGAGGGGGAGAAGATTCTAGATAGGAAAAAGTTGATGACGTTCAAATGATGGTTACCGAGAGACAGGCAGAAGCGTGTTTGCATGTGCAAATATGTATATGAGTGTGAGACGGCTGATGCAAAAGGTGTGTGTGCTGTTAGTCAATTTGTGGAGTTAGATATCTTGTCACAAATCCACATCATGGGGACCTGATCCCCAAAAAGCGAAGCCTTTTAGGGTTAATATGTTTTTATTTAGCAAAGATCATAGTTAGCATTGCGGCTAGTCGTGGCTCGCAGTTAACGCTGGATTAAATTTGAAGCTAATGAACGCAAGTCAATGCAATGTCCTCTTAAGTGACAAAAACATGTTTGTGTGTGTGTCCAGGGCTGAGCTCACTCAGCCCAGTCAGCCCTTCCTTTCTTCACGCCTGTCGGAAAGACTCCCATGTCAAAGACATGGCTGAATGGGTGCATGTCTGTTTCTCTCTCTCTCTCTGCATCTCCCTCCATTGCCGATTCTCTCGCTCTTTCTCCCATGTGAGCACAGAGGACTTTGCTTCGTGCTACCAAGTCCTCCCCGTTCGCCATCCAAGCGAGAGAGCCCCTCGCACCATCGCCATCGCTAGAGAGGCGGCCCCGGGACACAAATAGGACGTGACACCCCGAGAGAGGGTTGAGGTGGAGGAGGAAAAATGTACTCTCTCCCTCTCTCTCTTCCTTACCCCACTGCCTTGTCTCTCTGTGTCGTCTTCCCTCGGAAGGCCTACGGCTGCAGAGTGGTGGGGAAGAGTCAGGCACTGACATAGAGTTTGTGACACTCAGTGACTCATGGTGAAGACATTTGAAAGAGGGATATGACCTCAATTCGGTGATTTATGTAATCATGACTTAGTCTGCTATACTTTCACCGGTGTGTCACTGCTGCTATTTGGGTCTCTCCATTTTTCTTTTGAGCTCTCACCTCCGTCTTGGTCGCTAATTCCAATTAGCTTTATTTCCATTATCATAATTAAGTACAGTGTTGCCATAAATTTCAGTATATTTACAATGTAAATCTGATAGTTTAACTGTGGATGAAAAAGTACTGAGACCTTAAGCAAAATTGCAGCCCTGCAGAAAACACTCTTCGTATGGGTTAATTATTCATCGTGCTTTGCCTGTCTGTGTTGATGACTTACTGTGTAATCAGACTTTAAAGTTGCGTAATTAGGCGAGTTTTGACTCTTTTACGAAGCGTTGGGTAGTATATATTCTATAATACTGAATTAATGTTTTATCGTGTAAATGTACTGAATGTAACAGCTAAAAGGCAAAAGAAGTGGAAATATAAAGAAGCATAAAATGTTAATACTCGAGCAAAGCAGTTGTTCGCATGTTTGCGCAAAGACAAAATAAGATTTGCGCGTTCCTACCCGCTATCCATCTCCTTTCGCTCTGATCTAAAAGCCAGCACAGCACTGACTGCAGCTGCAAACCTGAACTCTGGAGCACAAAAAGCTCTTCAACATCTTAAAAATGTAAATACACTCTGAGTACTACGGACGGCAAACCTGCTCTGTGGCGAAATGCCGGGCTGCGGCTCTGCCTGCAAATACACGAAAAAGCCCGACGTGATATTCATGCTCCAGTCCACGGCACCATGCTTGCCCTCAGTGACCTCGGGGAGAGAGGCAGAATGGGAGTGATGGAAGGACTCTAAGGGAAATACAAAAAGAGAAAAAAATGGAGCAAAAGAGCGACTTTTGAAGAAATGGAGTGAAGATCAGTAACCAGAGTGTGGTCATACACAATAACAGAAAAAAAGGATATTGTATTGTTCATGTGAGGTTTTGTGAAATGCAATGAGTGTAAAACTCATCATGCACATCGCTGCATCTGTATGTGTGCAACTGTGATTTTTCTTTTTCTTTTTTTTTGCCTGCTCTGCTCATCTCTCTTTCCCTCTGTCATCATGGGTCAGGCATCCATTTTAGCTGGGCTTCTTAAGCGAGGGCTCCTACATTTTGTGAGCAGAAAAAAACACTCCTACATTTCGAGCGGGAGAGAGAGGATGCACGCTCTTCAGTCTTGGAGCAAGGTGGTGCACGCTCCTGCATTTTTTTCTTTTTCCCAGGGCAGACA